TTTTTTCCCCTTAATTTTAATATCTACATTTAGCTTAGCCAAATTTACTCATATTCATATCTATTCTAAACAAATATGTTGGTACATAATTCACCGCCTCATTTCTAAACAGAATTGTTAGTTTACGAATTGAAATGCCCACCATTACTTAGCCCTTTTCCTTTGATGTTCCAACAAATATTATTTAGCACAAAAGGTGACTAGGTGAGTCCATATATCAAGTCTTAAAGGTTCATCATGGTAGACAGCAGAATCATGTCATTATTAGGACCAATACAAATAGGAATGATGTGTAGGAAACCCATAAAGCATAAACTAATCAAGAATACTCGTAACAACATTGGCAGACCATTTTTCCTTTTCCCACACCAAAAGTAAGCCAACCAAATCTCCAAGCACATCATTACATTTTTTTTTGAGGAAAGCACATCATTACATTAGATAATCCGTGTTGGAATCGAACTTAATTAGCCAGTTAAAAAATTATATCTTTCTGTACTGACAAGGTCTGATTGGAACAAGTTTTCTGCTGCCTCAAATATTGAATTGAATGCCTACTTTTTAATTTTAAGATACACAAGTACTTAACAGCATGAATATAACGCATCATTTGATTTGACCTGAAAAAATCCCAGGAAATCACGGCGGTCCACTATTTATTAGGCGATACATAATCGTTTTCTAAGTCGAGGGAAAGAGAAAAGAATATATATATATCTGCCTTTGACAAATGACAATCATCATTATGGCACTGTTCGCTTCGCTGAAAAAACAAGCCGAAACACTGTTCTGGCTGATTTGTTATGAGAGAAAAACACTGCTCCACCTGAAAAAACAAGGTGAAAAAGACGGATTATAAGAGAAGCGAAAAGAATATATTAAGGGAATCAGTTGCTTAGCAAAGGCTCTATTTATAGGAAATTTCCTAACACCCACTGCACCCGCTGTTATCATCACTGTCGTATAAAAACATATGGACCTGAACGCACGTTATGGGAAATATTCTTGCATTGGGTATCATATCAACAAAAATGGCCTATGTATGCGTGCGTGCATGTGCAGCATATACACCTGCACAAAGAGCCAAACAAATTATCTTATTCTGCAAGGTTGGATTAGTTGTGTACGTTGGCTATCTTTGAGTGACGACATACTATATAAAAATTAAAATATGGAGTGCGAAATGACAATGCATGCGTACTAACAACACCTTGGAAGCTAGCTTATTGGGCTTGAACATATATTTTTCATACTATATATTATTATATATACGCATGCTTGCTTCTGATCGGATTAAGCAGATGGAGACCGCATCAGTCGTGTAGATTGTATAATTGAAAAGGCAGCAATAGCGGTGGCGGCTTGCTTTTGAAAATTTTTTAAAAGGCTGCAAAAGCTTTGCCGATTTTTTATTAGACTGATAAAAGGGAAAAGAAATCGCATTAATTACATAGTTCTATGTGGAAAGGAAGCTCCCAACTACCAAAACTAGAGAAGACTTTGAATCTGCTCTAACGGATGTTTTAGAACGAGACTTGGAAGTATTAGCTAGTACGTACGACGTATTAGAAAATCATGAAGTGGGAATGATGATGTGATGAGACGAAACACCACCACCACTACAAATGTCAAACAGTTTGGAGAGAACGGATGGGATGAAGAAAGCGAGGAGAGAGGTTATGTTGGCACTAGTCTCTCCGAGTTGCACAACATGTGGAAGGTGTGGTGAAAACACAAAAAGTAGCAATCGTCAACACGCGAAATCGGCATCTTTGATCGAATAGTGACGACTCACGACATGACAATGCATGCATGCGTATCAATATCAACAAACACCTTGGATTGGAAGGTGACTTGACCCTTCTTGCGTTGCTCGAGATATATAGGCCTTGTTTACATTGCAAGTTTTTTCACTCTCTCTCTATCATATCAAATCTTTGAATATATGCATGGAGTATTAAATGTAGATAAAAAAATAACTAATTACACAGTTTGATTGTAAATTACGAGACGAATCTTTTGAGCCTAGTTAAGTCATGATTGGACAATAATTATCAAATACAAACGAAAGTGTTATAGTGCCAAATACTGATTCATAACCCTTATCTAAACAAGGCTATAGTTTATTGGGCAGCTTGCTTAATTTCTTCGGATTAATTAAGCAGATGGAGACCGCACGCGCATCACTCATGTTGATGGAATAATTCAAAAAAGACGGCAGCGATATATTCCGGTGGTGGCAGCTTGCTTTTGAATTGAAGCTGCCCAGCTAGCTTAACGCAGGACGTTTTAGAATAGTGTGATTTGGAAGTATTAGCTAGCTAGTACTCTATATGTTCCCATTAGAAAACGATGGAGTGGAAATGATGATGAGACCAGACACCACCACCGCTACAATTCTATAAATGTCAACAGTTTATTGGGCAGCGTGCATGTGCATGATTGTTCGATGGCTGGTTTCTGAGCTAATAAGTTCGGTTGATACTGATTTGTTGTGAGAAAAAAATATTATTAGCTGGTTAATAAGTCCCACGTGCGAACGGCTGGATGACTTTCTTCTCGATAGATCCTGCGTGTCCTAGCTCGCTTTTCACCCATCTCCTCCACGGTCCGCAGCGCTCCTCAAAATCAACAACGGGGCGGGGCGACCCCAAAGAAAAGAGGGTATTAGCGGTTCGTGTTTCCATCAACCCCTGGGTCGAGCCGAACCGAACCCTCGGGTAGCTGCCGCCCATCCGCATCTGCCTGTAGAAGCTAGCGATGAACAGCTCCGCGCGCTGGTCGATGTTGTCGTCCCCTGTCACCGGCGACCCACCGCTGGATGACGACGACGCCGCAGCGCTGCTGGTCCGCGATAGGCTCCTGGTCATCGCCGTGCCCAGGCTCGCCGACCTGGATGGAGGTCCTAGAGCTGGAGGAGGAGGCCGGCGACGCGATGCCAATGCCGCCCTCGACGTCCAGCAGGACGTCCTAGGGCAGATTGTCAGCTTCTGCTTCGGTTGGATTCACACGATGACGCCTCATGCACGCACGCAGACACAGCTAGCACAGATGGCATCATCTCAACTGTTTCGCCCAGTGGCCATATATAGAACAGTTGAAACTACAGCACAGTTGGGCCCTCGTTCTCTTTCGGATCCTTCGCTGAAACGTGTACGTTCGTGAGCCCATCCGCTTGGGAGTGGGGATGGGATCAAGTTTGGACTAGAATGGGAACGTCCATGGACCAAGACAAGACAGGATCGACCTGCTTCTTCTAAGTCAAAAAAAAAAAAAAGAGTACTCAAGTGCACCGTACTAACGTATTGTAATGCAAGTCATGTGTTGGGCCGCTGGTCGATTCCATCCTTGCAATAATTATCCCGTTCGTTTGGCTGATAAGTTATGGCTGAAAGTATTGTTGACTGATTTGTTGTGAAAGAAAAATACTATTCGTTGGCTCAAAAAGTACGGCTTATAAGCCAAACGAACAAGACGAATGCTTGCTTGGGCGAGGACGCGAGGAGGCGGTGCAAGTGGGGCGTTGGACAATTGACATCCATTTCCACAAATATGGAACGTCAAAGGATCAATTCATCAACACCACTGGATTCCAGACCGCATGCTGCACGCAAATGTCGTACTACAATGTGCACGCACCTCTCCTTTTTTTTAAAAAAAAGCCTATATATATATATATATATATATATATATATATATATATATATATATATTTCTGTGCGTAGTCGTTGTGTTACTAATAATTAACTAGCCAAGTCCAAAGCTATTACATCTCGCTATATATCTTTGAGATAACATATAGTCCAAACAGTTTGGACGTCGTCAGGCACCACCTGTTCCGATCCGCTGTAGTACGTTTGCCTGTTTCCTATACGGAGTACGTACTCCGATGTCCGATCCGAAAAAAAGTACAAGCCCTTGTCTGTGATTTTGGGACTTGTTTAGATTGGGGTTAGGAATCAGTATTTGATACTGTAACACTTTCGTTTGTATTTGATAATTATTGTCCAATCATGGCCTAACTAGGCTTAAAAGATTCGTCTCGTAATTTACAATCAAACTATGTAATTAGTTATTTTTTTTATCTACATTTAATACTCCATGTATGTATCCAAAGATTTAATGTGATGAAGAGAGAGTGAAAAAACTTGCAATCTAAACGAGGCCTTGTACTCCGTATGTGTCTTCTGTTCCACAAAAGTACAAGCCCTTGTCAAGTCAAAAAAAAAAGAAAAAAAAGTACAAGCCCTTGTCGTCACATGTAAATATGCAGTATGTTAACCGGTGACCATTCCAACAGATACATGCATAACCGTCAGTAGTACACATGACTTCGTCACGCACTCACGCGGCACGCGGGCCGTCGTGTCATCGTCGGGCTTATATGCCTACATTTCGATGTATATATATATATCATCTCGATGACTAGCTCATTTGTCCTGTTGATACAGCCAGATTCAGTCGACGCCACCCGTGATCGCTTGGAGTTCAAGCAACACCCACAACGGGACAACGTACACACTGAAAACTTGGTTGGTTTATACGACGGCCGCAGCTTATCTCTTTTGGACTTTTCTTTTTCCCTAATATATATCTATTATTTGGTTTCTATAAATCACATTATAGACGTTAGATGCTTACATACACGCACGCACGCATATTCACCCCAAAGGATACACTATGTACAAGCACCTTCAAAAGACAGACCATAGATCCTAGGATCGACAAAGTCATCACAGGAACATCACCGTCGATGAAACAATAGTGTCGTCAAATCTTGAATCAAATTCAAGAAAATACAAGCAATCATGTCAAGTCAATGGCACAATTGGATTGATGGCTTTTATGATCGCTTCTCATTTTAGTTTTCAACTAACCGCTCCTAAAAATCCATTTTTCACCGGCGACGCTTCTCTTAAGCAAACGATCCTTTTGATAAAAAAAAACTAAACCTGGGGCCTTCATCTATTCAAAAGTTCACCCATCCTGGGGAGCTAGAATTATTGTTCAACATCTTCATCCCTGCTTAGATACGATTAAAATTCAATTATGACTAGCACAGTGCGACAGTCCCGCCAAACGATTCGTGGCGCAAGCGATTTTTTTTCACCACACTTTTTGATACAGAGGTGGGAGCTGAACTAGAAATGTGCGGTCTCCTATCCAAAAGAAGTTGGTGATTTCTGCTGTCGCGCCGCGTGGTCACTAAACCCCTAGTATATCCAATATCCAAATAGGGCCTTAGAGTATGTTTGGAACGCTTGAATAGATTTTACATGAACTGTTTGCTTATGCTGAAATTTAGCTTATATTGATGCTTATGCTAAAATGTTGTGAGAGAAAAACAACATTTTATGACTGAAAAGTCGTACTGCTGCAACGCGTAGCCATCATCACCCCCGGGCGTCGCCGCCGCGGCGGACAGGAGGAGGGCGCCGTAGTCCTTGAGCGCCCACATCTGCTGCTCCTCGGCTGCGTAGGGTGGGAGCGCGAGGCCGCCGAATTGCGCTTGTACGGCCATGGTGATGGTGTCAAGAAGGAAGGAGGGGGAAGGCCGAAGGCGTGGGTGATGGATGATGATGGAGCGAGCCTTGGAGGCGCGGTTCTATATATCGCGGAGGTGGCGACGCCCCGCCACATGATCGGACGTCGTGGAGGTGGCGTCGCGACTGGTTGGGTTGGATGCGTTGCATGCATGCACGCGTGCAGGTGCTAATTAATGGGGCCGATTACCAGTAACATTGCGCACGCAGATGCATAGCAGAGTCCTTTTCCGTTTCAGGACTCTCCGTCTGCGTGCGCAATGTGCGGACGAAAAGTTGTCACCGGCCCACCGCACCGCACCGATGGACAAAATGAAAGCAGGTGGATGGATCATGCCGTGCCGCAGAGCAGCATGTGAAGCAGGGCAACGCGCCGGTGGCCCGCTGCCCTCGTTCGTCCCCCTTTGCTTTGGCCACCTGTGCGCCCGAGCCTTTTTTTTCCAGGTCGTCCAGTCCCTGATGCTTTCGTTTCGTCGTCCCGTCCAGTCCAGTCCAGTGTCGCCGTACGGCCGCGCACATGTCACCACGGCATTGTTTAGGAAGGTGCAAAGTTTAAACAGTGTAAGATTTCTTACTGTAGCATTTCGTTTGTATTTATGAATTATTGTCAAACATTGACTAATTAGGCTCAAAAGATTCGTCTCGCAAAGTGCAATTAAACTGTGCAATTAGTTTTTGATTTTATCTACATTTAGTACTTCATACATGTACCGTAAATTTAATGTGACGGAGAATCTTATTTTTTATAGTGTACCTTTCAAGAGTTTAAGAGGAACTAAACATGACGCTTTGTTTACGCATGTCTGCCTTCCGTTTCATGCTCTCGACGGAACACGACGATCCATCCATCCCCTCCGGACCGGGCCGTGTTTTTTTATCTATATATTTTTATAATATAAAGGCGATCTTGACGAGGAGGCCAGACATTCGATGGTTTAGGTTCAGAGGAGGCAACCACGGGAGGGCCCATGCCGCGAGGTGCAAACAGCCAACAGTTCAGTTCCCGTTTAGATCAAAAATTTTTGGATTTTAGCTCACGGTAGCATTTCGTTTGTATTTGTTAATTAGTGTCTAATTATGGATTAATTAGGTTCAAAAGTTTCGTATCGTGATTTCTCACTCAATTGCGTAATTAGTTTTTTTTTCGTCTATATTTAGTACTTCATGCATGTACCGCAAGATTTAATGTGACGGATACTGCACAAAACTTTTTGAAATCTAAACAGACAGTCCACCAGCGGCGGGGGCCCGGCATGGCATCGCATGAGAGGCGACAGTCGCCACGCCACGCCACGTCGGAAGCGGTGGGGATGTGGCCATGTGGGAACTGATCCAACTGAACCATGTCGTACAGATTTGCTAGGTCAGTACTGTCGCTTGTTTTTCTTCTTCTGTTGAGGTGGCCAGGTGGTAAAGCAAAAGTGGGAGCTTCCGTTGCACCGAGCTAGCTGGTACGTGCGCATTCAAAGATGGTGGCTTTGTGGTTGTTTATTTCTGTGGGCTCTGTTTGATAGATTGATCTCTAATCCTAAACTGGATCCAACAGTCTAGTTGGATCATTGTGATCTACGCCCTGATCGAGGGCGCCCAGCTCACTATGGCTGGAAGACCTCTGTCACACTGCGCTATATATAGGTGGGGGATAGCGGCTCTGAGTACGAGGTTCACCGTGAGCCGAGCTTCCCACCGAAACCTAAACCCTAATCCCGATCAGAGAGGGGCGCAGCCAGTGACGGGAAGCCACCAGCCGCGCCGCCCCGCTCCACCAACATCGACGACTTCATCGCCCTCTTCCCCGAATGTCGCTACCCGTGCGCAGACTTCACCGACGAACGAGATGACGGCTTCTGGACCATCTCCCTCTGCGGTGTCAGGTTCGACACGTTCTTCTTCTATTCCTCTCTCTCTCTACCCTCGATATCGCATTCACAGTAAAGAGAACCTGCTAGACCTAACCCTAGATGATCTTTACGATTTCAACAATGGTATCCAAAATTTCAGATATTAATTAACCTTGTCCTGATTTTACACATGTATTCAACTTTTTTTTATATATATAAAAAATGCGAGTAAAAGTTATGGATTTAACCTAGAGGTTAAGGTCATGTTTGGGTCAGCAAGAGCTTAGAAGGCTTCTTAAGAAAAATCGCCTCCTATCTAATAGTCTAGTTTATATAACCTATATATGCTCAATTACCCAACTCTTAAAAAGTTTTAAGCTACCTCTCTCCCAACCATATTCTGATTTTTAAAATTTTAGCGGGATGGAATGGAGCCTAAAGCCATTGCAAGATTGATGCATTTTAACACCCACCCATTGTACATATAAAAATACAGCAATGTTCACTTCAACTCTAATGCAACCTAGCAATACAGTACATCCGAAATAATTTGACTAGAGTAATCTTTAGTCACGCGCGAAATTTGCAGTAACTTCCCTTTCTAGGCATGCTATATAGGAAGAAGAAAGATATATAATACATAAAGGGAAGCAATTAAGGCACAGGTCACAGAAAATTAAACCACATACGCAGGCATGATATACCACGTGCATCCCAAAACTATTCACAAATTTAAGGGAGTTACCATGCATATTTTAGGTGCCTATAGTCAAATAATTGCAAATTAATTTAAGGAAGTTACTATATTTAAGGGAGTTACTGACACGAGTTACCTCGAAGAGTCGGGAGTGATGCTGCAAGACTAGCGATCGTCATGGGCAGGGGCAGGGGCAGGGCGGCCCGGGGCCCGGGGCGCAGCGCATGCCCGCATGCACGGTTACGGTGCACGCCAAGAGCAAGAGCAGAGCGACAAGGTTACGTGATGTCCGGGCGAGTACGACGGATCGTGTGGTCGCTGGCGGCTGGCTTCAGGTACAGGTGCAGTGCAGTGCAGATGCGTGCATGCTGCCTTGCCCCCCCGGCCTCTGCTCTGCTCTAGCCTAGTAGAGAGCACGAGCACGGAGCAGCTCACGTCCTCGCCTCATGCTGTCATGCATGTAGTTGGGGTTGGGGGTGCCCAGCAGCCCAACAGACGGCGACGCGGAGAGCTGAGACAGGCCATGTGTACGCTGCACTGCACACGTCTGCACCTGCGTGCGTACAGGTACGGTGCAGGCGTACAGCTCTCCCGTCCCGTGTGCATGCATGCGATCTCACCCACAGCCACAGAGCTGCTGTGCCGTTTGATGGGGATCGTACGTACGTTTTTTAGGGTACTACGTAGAGTACACTGTAGCTGCCTCTGCGGCTCTGCCTGCCTGGGTCAACATACTAGTAGCAGGCAGCCGCACTGTGGAACCACGTCGCTGGCTGTGGACGTGCGACGTGGCCTGCATGCATGGTCGACACGACGACACGACCGGGCTGCATCTTTCTTTGCATGCGTGATGCATGCGTGCGCTGCCGGGCCGGGGGTAGTATGTGTACGTACTCCATCGTCGGTTCATCTTCGTCACACACCGACTAAACACATCATGCACACGTACTTCCTCCGTCCAGGACTGGAGGGGATACCAATGCAACATGGCAAATTACTAAAATACCCCTATGAACTGATTTGATATGTTCACACGCACAGAATCTGGCAGTAGCGATTGCAGCCGGTACTGGAGGGGAGAGCTTACACGTGTCATTACACAGACAATGGAAAAGTTTTGGCCAGAAGACTCTAGAGAGACAGCCAAAATAAACAAAGGTTGCCCCAACACCAGCTTGTGGCTCAGAATCAACCACGCGAAATACAAAATTTGAACCACCGCGCGCCAGGTGATTTCCCGCCTGTGCCACCCCCTCGTCCCCTCATATAACTTCAAGACACAGACCATCCACTCCAACAGCCTGAAAGCCATTTTCATCACACCCATGCCCATAGATCTAACACTCTTCCAGATCATCATGGAGAGCTCCTATCTGATCTCAATGAACAGCCTGCTGCATATGAGCAAGAAGATGAAATCATGAGTCTCTAGCAAGATCAACTTTATCAAGATGAAGCCCATCTCCAAGATCAACATGGGGAGCTCTTACCTGATCTCAATGGAAAACCTGCGTATGAGGAAGAAGATAAAATCGCTCATCTCCAGGAAGATCAACTTTATGAAGACAAAGCCCATCTCCAAGGTCAACCCCTACATCTTCATCACAATGAACGCCTTGGTTTGCATGTCATCGATCTCAATGTTGCTGCTTCTGAGGGAGAACAAGAATGTAACACCCCTGGTTACGTGCCTGTTTAACAATAGTTTAAGGCTTAATAAAATCTAATGAATAAATTTTTCTATGCTTGGTGATGAACTCTTGCATGAAGTGATAATAAGTACATGTTTGTTTAAATCACCTTTGTGAATATAGCCAACATGTGTGATGTCAACCAACCTTGATTTTGTGCTTAAACATCTCTAAATGGGTTTGCGAACAAAAGTTAATTAGGGTTCATGTTGGAAAAAAGTGGAGAAAATGATTAAAAATGCCAAAAACCTTACCTAATTTTAATTGCTCAATAGTTTTTTAGAGTATAAATAAATAATTATTTTATATGGAAATTGTAAAAAATGTTGGTGTCAAAAACTTAGTTTAAGTTTTGTACTTTGTGTTAGAGTGCTCGTTCGTGCCTAGTTTGGTTGTTTCATAGAGTAATTAGTGCTTCAAAGTTTGAATGAAATGTTGTTTCCTCGGAGACTTAGAAAGTTTCTAAGTGCTTAGTGTTTTCACGACACTTTGCTAATTTTGGCCCTAATTACACCTAATCTGTTGCGCTAATGACCATAGTTCCTTAATACGAGTTGAAGACCAAGGGCGATGAAGATATTTTGCTACAATCACGGACTACAAATCTGGCTGAAATATGCCAAAAAGTGGGTCCAAGAGAGGCACATGGTTTTGTCGTCACCACGCCTGCTACTGGCATGGCCGCCACCACGCCTACTCGCCTCCTTCCCCACCCATGCCATCGCTTGCTCCCGCTTGCCTTCTTCTAC